AAGTAATAACACGGAGTTAATTTAAATCCCGAAAGAAATAATAAATCCCGGTGTTGGATAAACGATATTCTTGACTAGCTAAGTTTGTGCGTAAAAGAGTAAAGAAGGTAATAAGGAATTCCGTATGGCTTGTTTTTATTTATGCCTATTGTCTTTAATTCCAAATATTTTTTCAATGTGCTCAAGAACATTTCGAACATTAGCGATCGAATTGGGATTAATTTCTATGGGATCAGGAATAAATATTTGTGGTATATGAACTTCGGAAACTGATTCTTGCAGATCTAATTTTTTAGATCTATAAGGATGAATAACTAGAGACTTGTCGGTAGTATTTTTAATATTAGGTAGCTCATTAAGTTGTTGATTTATTTCACTAATTGTAGATAATTTATTATGACATTTAGGACAAACCTGCTTCTTATTATCAATATCAGAGACTTGACAAAAAGAACATTTTTTTATATATCCTATCTGGTCTTGAGAGTTTACCAGGTCATTAATTGTATTTGTTTCTTGATTTTTCTTGAGAAAAAGTTCTTCTAAAATAATTAAAAGATAGTTAGTAAGTTCTTCATGAATTTCATCTTTCATAGCTGATGATAAATAAAATAATTCTTTATATTGCTTTTGAGTAGGATCAGAATCTAGTCAAGGATCCGTATTTTGGATATAGTTGCTTTGATCATAATTAAAAACAACAAAACTTGTAACAGTATGGAATATAATCGTATTATTTTCATGATCTAAATAGTTTTTTTGGTCCTTTTGTTCATTGTCAAAAGCTAAAAATAAAAGACTTGCAGGAAGTGACGGTGGTTCTACAGCCAGACTTTCTAACCAATTAGTAAACTTAGTATAAATACCAAAGCTAATAATATGATTATCAATACCAATAATCATTTTTGATCGTGCTAATGAATACTTAACTGCTAAAGCAGCCAAACTAATTGCAGACACATATTTTAAGTGCTGTAATCCATATATGACATCAATGACTACCACACACTTAAAAAGTTTTTCTCCTTCAAGTTAATCATTTTCATTATATACAAGAGTTTTGATGAACTTTACGACGACCAAATTCCGTTCAGCAAGCTATTTGGAAGGAAAATATTCTAAAAGACTATCTAAGCAAAATTGCTCCTTATTTTTCATTAAACTTTGTATACCCTCATATAAATTATTATGTTTTTCTTTTGCAATTTCTATTGCAGATTGGATGCAATCTTGTTGTTTAGTAAATAGCTTGCTTTTTAGTGCTTCATTTTCAATTAACAACTGCTCATTAATGCTTTCTAATTCATCAATTCTTTTTTGAAGAATTACACATGTTGGATCCGGAAAAGAGACTTGAGACCCAAAATCATTGAAAGCTTTTTCAAATGAACTAACTTGAGTGCTAGAGGTAGAAGTTTCTTCAACTGGATTACAGACTTCTGGATCGTTGTTAGAAAATTTTAATTTTTTTCTTTCTGATTCTCCTAAATGTAAAAAAGTTGAATTAGTTTTTAATTTATTAATAAAAAAAGACTTAGTAACAATCTGGTTGTAATGCCATTCACACATAGAATAACAATTTAAAGAATCAAAAAATAAAGTTAATTCAGAAAAATACTTAGCCATTTCTGTTATTTTTTTAACTGTCGCGCCAACTGACGCATTTCGCCAATGTTGATCCTCTTCCGTCTTACATGTATCTATATGCTTTAATAAGTCACTTTCTGAATATTTTTGAGCAAAAGAAGCGAATACGCAGAGCAGTTTTTTGGCTTCCAGTTTAGAATCCATGCTAATTACTATATAAATATATGTAAGTTTAACTCTTAATTAAAGAAAAAATTAATATGTTAAGTCTCTGGGATCCTTGCGGATTCTGAATCTATGTATTTGAAAATATGTATTTCAATTGTTAGGGTTAGGGTTATATTGCGATACGACGGTGCTAGATCGATGAAAAGTCACAGATTTTTTCTTATAAAAAAATTATTGAACGCCAATCACATGTCGATGCATGAATGTAAATTATTCTAGAAGTGATCTTCAAATTTTTAAAAATCTCTGACTGCATTTTTCTTATTGACTTTTGCTTCATCTTTTTAGCAATATCTACTCGAAATGTAGAGAATAATCTGCTTCCAATAAAACAATCAGATCGTAAGTTAAAGAATTATCTTTTTCTAATCAATTAATATTTATTATAATTTAAAAATATGTCATTCGATAACAGACCGTATAATCTTAAAACCCGTGATGGAATCGGAGTCGGAGCCAAAGTCGAAGTCGGAGAAATAATACTCGACGAGGGAGGCGAAGGCAGAGGTAGAGACAAAGGCAGAGGCAGAGGTAGAGGCAAAGGCAAAGGTGGTGAAGGTGGTGCTAAAGATTTACTAGAGGAATAGGGACAGGTGATGGCGGGGGTTAAAACGACGAAAACATCTTGGATGATAAGTTAATAATTCAACATGAAATATAGTTCAGTGAATTCATCCAATGTATTTCGATTATTAACTAAGTGCCTATTTAATGAATTTAATTTTAGGTATGAAGAATTCTTAAAATCTTATTATTATAAAATTTTTTATCTTTTAAATTTAATACTAAGGTCACCTATCTATTTCTGTGAACTTTTTTGCTATATATTAAATTTTTCATACAGCCAATATTTTTTATTTATTATATCTTATATCTTATATATTATAATAACCATATTAAAATTTTATAACCATTTGAACATTGTCTTATTTTTGTGTATATATTTTTTAGCTTTAATGTGTATTCTTTTTTGTTTAATTATTTCTTAGGTTTTTTTGTTCTTTTTTATTATGTTAATTAATAATACCAATTTTGTGCTAGCATACTGATATTGATAATTAAAGAATCAAGAAACTAACTGTTACATATTATTATTAAAAAAACTTTTATATAGCTAACATCTTATGTATAACATTTATGACTAGATATCAAAGTATGTTTGTCATAATAATAATGAATTTTATATTTTCATATTTATTGAATTACATGTATAAAGCGCGAGAAAAAATTTATTTTACTTTCTGATCAAAACAGTCCTTATATTTTAAGTTTGTATTATTTTTTTGAAATACAATAATTAGCTTAAAATGATATAAAATTTAGCAATAATTATTATGAAAAATTTAGATATATACATAGCTTTAAATTTTCCATTTTTGTATGTTTTATTATATAATTTTGGACTGGGCATTACTTTTGGGGGTGCTGTACAGTCAACTCTCTCTATTGTCAATATGATGGAACCGGGCATTCTTGTTGATATATAAAAGGGTTGATACTCAGAGGTTAGTGTTAATACATGTATCAATATATTAGTCCAAGGGAAATTTATTTTACAATAAATGTGGATAATAAAGAGATATTGATATTAAAGATGGTTGCTTAAAAAATATGAAGAGTGTATTGCTTAAGAAAAATATGCAAATAACAACATAGTTTATAGTTTACAAAGTGGACTTTGGTAATAATAGATACGCGAAGGAATAATTTTATTAAATTTAATCACTAAACGTCTAATACATGTACATGTATTAATTAAAAGTCTTAAATTTAATTTAATGAACTGATCCAGTTTAATGATGAAAAGACTAGTCGTACCCCTATCCTAATTTGGGCTGATTCCATATTCACACAACATATGAGGGTGAGTCAACAGAAACCAAGCAAATTATATATGTAATACATATATAATTTGCTTGGTTTCTGTTGACTCACCCCCATATGTATGTATTGTTACAGGTTAGTGATTGATTATAGGAATTAGCTGCTAATCTGTAAATTGGGTGGGAGAAATGAATTAACTAAAGTTATTTTATTTATTAGTTTTCCAAGGTTCTGTGCCAATATCTTCAAATATTGTTGTATTCAATTATCAGTCTGGTTTTGTTCACATGTTTCACAAATATTAACAATGCGTTCACTTTTTCTGGACCAAAAGCGTAAACCCTTAAATCGTAGTCGTCAAAACAATTATCTCACTTTTCTGGATCAAAGTGACAAACTCTTCAAATCATTTTAATCTCACTTTTTCTGGATCAAAGTGGCAAACCCCTTTTTGTAACAATGGATTTAATTATTGGGATGGAGGATGAAAAGGCACCATAAGAACTTAATTGTACACAAGTAAGTAATTATACTTTAAAGTTTTTTTTTATTGCTTTATTGCCAATTCTTCTGCTTATTCTCTAATCACTCTTTCTCACTCTCATTATACATTTTTGGCTTTCTATTTTATGGTGTAATTTATGATGTAATTTTTATTGTGTAAATTACAGTGGAATTTACGACGTGATTTACAGTGGAAATTACAGTGGAAATTACAGTGGAAATTACAGTGGAAATTACAGTGGAATTTACGATGTAATTTGAAGTGTAATTGGCGGTGTAATTAACACAAATAAAGAAACACACAAAAAAACAATGCGTTTCTAAAAGGAGACTGTGTTACCGGTGTAACAGTATATCGATATCGATATATACATGGACAGTAATCAAGTTAGGCAACGGCAATACATGTACGTACCAATAACGATAATCATAACATTGAACTAAGTATGTGAGAAGAACCAATAAAATACATGTATAACGATAGGAAGATGGATATGTATCAAATGCTGCTTGTTATAAACAAAAACAGAATATGCAATGACAAAAAACACACTACGTACAAAGACATTATCGATATTACAAAGACACTCGATAGAACAAAGACACTCAAGATAACAAACGCTTCCGGACACATGTAATGCGCGGTTTTATTATCGAGGGTGTCTTTGTATATTATTCCTTCTCTTCTTTTACAAACACAGTATGTTGTAGAAGCACAAAAATACCTATGAGATATTATCGTTTTAGTGAACTTATTTACGAGATCATAATTGGTTTTGGTTAACCTTAACGAAGCAGTGAGTTAAAATCAGAATATTTATAAAAGAAACGAAAGTATAAACAACATAGCAAAGAAAATGTTGTCAACCAAAGCAAAAGAAGTGAAAAAACATGCGGCCGAGGCAATTCTTCGAGTGGTATTTGCACAAGCGATAATAAGCATAATCATTTCTTTGATAGCTTCGAAAATCAATAGAATAGTCCATCGTCAAGCACCATTAACCGCAATAAATGTTGTGAATAAGACCACCGAAGGAATTCCCATACCAAATCTGTTTGTATGTGGACAACACATTGAGCACATCACCGTAGAGAAAATTCCATTTCTTAGTGAAAGAGCGATATTGGTTGAAGAGTATTATTTATGGAAAACAAATGATGCTACACTTAAAGCTGGCGGTGATTTAACAGAGGGCAAAGACCCATGTTTTATTTTTCAGCCTAATGGAACACTTAAATTCAAATTAACAAATGATTCTAATTCAGTGTCCATTGATTATATTTCGATCATTGCGTATTCCAAAAGAAATATTTCACGTGAGGATAATAATATAACTTTGGTCGGATTATGGGATTCTAAACGCGATATTAGCACCAGAAAAACGTTCTTCGCTCGTGCTGCAACCATTAACCAGCTTACGTTTACATCGACAATTCGAGCTAACTTGAATCAAGAAATATATCAATTAATAAACAAAATACACTTCAAGTTGAAAAGTTTGGAACTGAAAAAATTACAGCAATGATTAGCATTTCTCCAGATTCGTATATGGTACGTAAACTATTTCCTTATCGTTGTCGTCATCGTTCCTGATTATTTATCTAATATACATGTATTTATAAAATCAGGTGACTGAATATACAGAAACGCAGACATATGGATGGATAGACTTGGTTGGTACTATAGGAGGTCTTCTTACATACGCAATAGCAGTTTGGGAATTTTTATTTGGACGGGGAAAGTATAGATCATGGGGTTTTGTTCAACGCTTTCTATTACGAAATTCTCCAAATGTCAAAAAGCTTCCATTAATGAAAAAAGAAGAATTATTTAACGAACCAAGTTCATCATCACCTCCGACTCGTCCACCCACAAATAAAATAAATCCAGAATACTATGTTAAGACTACGGGCACGCCAACTCAATCCCTTTTTCGCATTAATAACACGCCAGTATCAGTAGATGTGCCTTTTTCAGGAATGAATGACGAGATACTACGTAAGATAGATACAATTAATGAAAAACTTTGGTTTTTAGAGCAAACGTTAAGTCGTCATTATTTGGCAGGATTCCGATTAAGGCAGTACTATGATGATAAATAGTAATAATAACATTACAGAACAACAATCTGAACAAGTACAAGCTGATTATTTATCCTGAAGTTAATTAGTTAGGTTGCAGGATCAGATTTTACATTCAACGAAGTTCCAAAACAATTGAGTAGAGATATTGATGTAATCACAGGTGGCAAAAATAATAATTTTGATTACTCCTTGCACAGATTTATCATAAGTCAGTTATTTCAAAGAAAAGTTGTATTTTACAATTTCTAGTTCTGATATTTTATAAATAGTTTTATCGTTATTGTTGTAGATTTCCAACGATGGTTATGGGGGACTGAGTCAAATAGATGGGAACCGAACTTAAGAGATATCACTTCTAATACCTAAAATATATATATGCATAATATATTTATTAATTCAGTATTTACAGAGTTTCATATGGTACTCATGCACTTTCACATTATTTCGTCACTTTCTGATGAGAACCGGACCATTCTGGTCGGAGGACATATTAAAACTCCATCGGTCCAGATTGAGTCGATTACCATTCATAGTGTATGTATATATTTTTTTTCTAGAGGGTTCTTTTATGGAAATCTGACTGTACATGTAGACATATCAGTTGTATTGTGTGTCCGTATCCAAAGGCTATTGTATTATGGGTGCCGTCTAACATCCTGAGGATCACAATCCCAACATTTCATATGCCCGACAAACGAAATCCCGAAAATCCAACATCCAGAAAAGCTATTATCCCGAAAACTCAATTTCCCGACATCCAATATCCCGCGAAAAGCCAACATCCCGAATGCTCAACATCCAGAACACTAACATCCCGATGGTTCAAAATCCCGAAATGTTAAAAATGACAATTCAAATTCCAACGCATAAAAGCATGAAATGGCATATACTATTTATATTACGCTATTCTGATTGTCATAAGTTTTGCAAATAAGAAAAAAATTGGTTCCCGAACTACCTCTAATCTGGAAATACTATACTTTAACACTAAATTTGATTTTAAGATTTGGATTAGGGTTATAGTGGAGATAAGGTTATATAAAATTACCTGCCCAACATTTTTTATTAGTGGACCAAACTAAATTCGAGCATTAGCTCCTCGTATTCTCACAATTTTCATTTTCTTGTTTTGCCGGCTAATTGTTTGTGCATTCCTATTGGTTGACGATCAATAATGCAAATTGTCAAGTGCCGGATATGCACCATTTTTTCTTGATACATGTACGTACATGTATAAGGGTACCCGATTACCAATTATTGACTACCGACGTGCAGATCCTATAGAAATCCAATAGAGTATTGTAATGAAATAACGATAATTTTAAAAACACATTGCTAACAATAATGAATATCAATACATGTACATGTACGTACATGTACATGTATAACACAAAAGTCGATCAGTGAGTGACCAATATCGATATATTTTAAATGTCGTGTTGAACAGGGATGTTAGTGTTCGGGGTATTGAACATTCGGGATGTTCAGTGTTCGGTAAGTTGGAGTTTCGGGATGTTAAACTTTCAGGATATTGGACTTTCGGGATTTCGTTGTATTACATGTATTAATACATCAACTTCGTGATAAAAAAACTTTTCGACCAGAACCAACCCCGTCTGCTATTATTGTTTTCCAATCCAAACCAACTGTCAAGGTTAAAAAGGTAATTGATGATCGGTAACACAAATCGAAATAGATATCGAAACATTAACGTTAACGTTAACGTTAACGTTAATATTTGAGTCTATATCGATATCGATATAGTGTTACCGGGTTAAGAATAATTTCGTTAATGTTAAATCAAATTAATCAAATTAAGCTAGATTGTTGCAATCTATGACGTCACCGTTGACTTACGGTCGAAACGATCATGCAGATCCTATCGTAAAAAATATAAATTCAATGGTCGTTATATCGAGAGTCGACTGTATTGTTGTCGTTTTTGCATCACGATGTCTCGAAATGAAATTTTACACGAGTTTACTCGTTTCTAGTGAGAATTTGGCAATTTCAATTAAAAACTGCGCATAATAAGCATAGAATTTTCTGGCTTATACATTACCAATTCTAGCTTCTTTCAAGACCAAATCTGGTTTAACAAATAGAAAATAAAGTTTGATTGGATTCACACAAACAAACAACCAAATTAAGAATACGTACGTATCGTTATTTACCATCGCTTATATATTGAACGTCTGGAAAAGAAACTAAATTATAAATAATAAATAATAACGTAAAGAAAATGGTATCATCAAGAGAACAAGAATCGAAAAAACTTGCAGCCGAGACAACTCTTCGAGTTATATTCGCATTTGCTATGACAAGTATAATCATCATTTTGGCAGTTCCGAACATAAGAAAAATAGTCCATCATCAAAACCCATTAATCACGATAAATATTGTGAATATGACCACCGAAGGAATTCCAATGCCAAATTTGTTTGTATGTGGAGAGCTCATTGATCACATTACTGTAGAGAAAATCCCGTTAGGTAAAAGAGCGGTAATGGTTTATGAGTATCTATGGCAAACAGATGAGACTATACTTAAAGCTGGTGGTGATTTGACGGAGGGCAAGGAAGACCCATGTTTTATTTTTCAGCCTGATGGAATGCTTAAATTCAGATTGACAAATGATTCAGATTCCATTGATTATATTTCGATCAATGCGATTTCCCGAAGTAATATTTCTAGTGAAACTGCGAATTTTGGGGCAGTATTTGGATTATGGAATGCTGAACGTAACATCAGTGTCATAAAACCGTTCGTCGCTCGTACTGCAACCATTAACCATTATACGTTTACATCGACAATTCGAACTGGACTGAATAATGAAATACATCAAGATTTCACAATTAATCAACAAAATTCACTTCAAATACAGAGTTTTAACGAAGTAACAATTGCTGTAAAGATTAATTATTCTCCAGATACGTATATGGTAAGCCAATAATTTTCAAAATAATCCAATGTTGCTATTAATGTCGTTTGTGCACTTTTCTCTACCTTTTTAATTATAAAGTTAAATATTTGAGATTGATGATAATGATAGGAATGCTTGCAACTTTGATATGTAATTCCAAGAATCATTAAAGTTGTTGATAATGTTTAACGATTAAGACCAGCTGCTAACATTGATACAATGTGAATAACTTATACCTTTAGGTTGATTATAATTGTATTACATATTTTACAAGTAATTGTACATGTTAATTCATATCCAAGAACTGTAATATACCAACTACGATTACACATTTGCACATTATTGCAATTAATACAGGGCTTAGCTAACAGTAGTGAAAGATAAATCTCAGTTCCAATCAGAATAGTAGAACCTAGCTTGTATTCGTTAATTGCATTTTCTGTTACCTTTTGAATTGCTTCCTGATTGAATTAATTAATTGAAGACTTATCATTATTATGAATTTGCTTTCTAATAATTTTATTTTTTCTTTTAACTGACTAATTGTATGTTGTAAATTATTAATTGTATTTTGAGCTAAGCTATCATCTATTATAGGCTCTCGTCATTGTACTTTGTGTGAATCTAATGATTCTTCATTTTCATTTTCGAGAGCAATATCAATTCTATCTCTTTTTCTTTTAAGTAAGCTTAGTGATGGCTCTTTTTTATTTTCGTAGAGACCTGCACCTAACACTAACAGTAATGATTGTGATGTTGTTAATTCATAGTGAGAATAGGTCCATGTAGAAGTTGGCAGAATAGCTCAGTGAATACAACATATACTGTTGATTGTAATTCATAAATAATAAATGGTTCAGTGAGGCCAAGATGAAGGTATTGAAGTATTCTTATTAATTTTGTATTCATCAAACATTTGATAAAAGCCAAACATTCAATCCCTTGTTTAATTTGTTAGTGAATGTTGAATCAATTCCATAATCTTCATAATTGAATAAGACTTCGATCATTGGATGATATATTCAAACGAAAACAGTGACCTGTGAGTTTGGTAAATACCCATATAGCCAAAGAATTATTTTTTGAAATAATACAAGTATAACCAGCATTTTTATTTATTTCTTCAGACTCTAATATACGCGTGAGAAATCCGTGAGAAAGATTGAATTTTTGTAATGTTTGATGCAAATTAAGCACCTCAAGTCATTTACTCCAATCCCTAACTAGCCAAGTGCCTTGACTACACTTATATGCACGACGATATTTGGGATGTTGTTCAATGATATATTTATACCAGTCTTTAGTAGACATAATAACGATAATGATCGAAAAATATTAACGTTAGTATTTATTATTATCGTCGTCGTTATACATACATGTATGTTACATTACTATACAAAATTGGATTTTTAGCACATTATTTGCGAGAATTTCTTTTAGAGACATGATTATCAACAGAAGTGAACTTCAATTTTTGAATTTGGTTCTCGAAAACAAAACTCATATGTAATGTAGTATTTATCAACATAAAAAGATAGGATAAAGTCTTCCGGAACTATTTATCCTATTTTATGCCTCCGCAGAAAGTTTTTTATGAAGTAATCTTTGACACTTTTCAACGACTAGTAGAATCTATGATTTACATAAAAGTTGATGATGTAATGCATCCTTTACGATCTTGAGAAGAATGTCAATCTTGCCAAATACGTACATGTAATTCTAACAACGATAAAGGAATCGCTATTGATAATGATAATGATAACGATAAATTCACAATAACAAGGACAAAGAAATAAATAGAAAGTTTATTAAGAATCGCTACATACGTGTATGTAATCAAAATTTTTATTATCTTGAATCTTTTTAGTCATCAGAAACATTAGAAAATGAACTTCGATTTTTGAACCCGATTTTTAAGAATATAACGTAGTATTTATTAACTAAAAAAAGTAAAATAGGTCCATTCTAAACTTTTTATTGTGTTTTTATAACTCCGCAGAAAGTTATCTTTGATGCATTATATCGAATAGTAAAATCAGGTGATTTGTTAATGATCTACATAAAGTTAATGACGTATTCCACTCCACCCTTAATGATAAAAAAAGGATTATGGTGAAAACTGGCCAAAATTGTGCAGATCATGCGGATCATTTGGCCAGAATTATCGACATTTCATACAATATTTTGAAAATAATGGTAAATGCACAAAATAATTAATTTTGCAATAATGTTTATATTGCTAAAACTATATACGTAAGTTTATGGGTATAATTATTTATAGTTTATTATAATAGATATTGCAAATCTTCACCATATCCGTTTTTCATCATGATCCCCCATTTAATATCCATTGTTATTATCGGGGCTGTTGCTGACACTTGCGATTACATCAATATCTCCATGCGTAGCATTATTTGGATTTTGATGGCGAGGTCGATTGATTATTATTAATCATCTCATCATAATATTTTCTTAATTGGAATCCTGCCAAATAATGACGACTTAACGTTTGCTCTAAAAACCAAAGTTTTTCGTTAATTCGAGAATCTATTTTT